CACTTGATCAGCTGGGTTAGTTAAAAACAGGGAGTACTAATTGTTAATTAAGCAGTTTGACCTAGTTTTGGTAATTGGCTTTATAATGGCTTGTTGTTGTTTCAGATACGTTATAGGATACATTTCACAAATTTGAGCAAAAAATTTTAACGACCTACAACAAGGCAGAATGTCCTTTTAGATATGAAAAAAGAGGGTGTATGTTTCCATGTTTGGCATGCTAACTTTGCCACGGATAAAAAAATATTTAAACTAGGAATCTTTCTACTACCTGGTTTTTGGCCAATCAATGAATAAGGAGAAAAGATAAAGATTAGATTATTGAACTTTGTATATGAACCAATGAAACATAGTGACAAGCAGGTTACTGTATCAAAGGCTCAATGATATCTGACTTGTAAACACTTGATAAATCAATTACCACCAAACATGGTGACATGAGTAATGGTCTACTGTAATGATGTCGGACTCTTAATCGCTTGATAAATCCAGATTGATTGCCACTGGCTACTGCATCAAAGGTTCAATGATATCAAACTCTTAAGCACTTGATAAATCTAGACTTATGGCAACTGGCTTCTGAATCAAAGGTTCAATGATGTCGGACTCATAAAAACTTGATATATACAGTCTAACTATTGACACCTGCTTTAATTGAATTAAAATGTTTATTTTCAGCCGTCAGGTCTGCGGGAACTCAATAGCTGTCTTTACTATTGGGTTTGACATACACCACACACAGTTAGATGATCAACGTAGCACGGTCAGTATACAAAGTTTATAAATTCCACTTTTGCGTCACAAATGTCTATCAGTCTGTGAAAACTTCAGAAGGCAAGAATCTTGATGGATTTTGACAAAACTTGGTGTGTTTATTATCTTTTATGGATGGACACTATTGAAGATCAAGTTATTGCCCTTGTGTTCGAAGTGTTCAATTGTAGCTTGTAAGTACTTAAGAGAACAGATTTATACCAAATTATCAATATTTGACAGACAAAAAAGTTCAGAAAAAATGTATGATGAATGGTTGAATATTTGACACTGGTGATTGTTACTATTCTTTCAAATAGTTTAATTTGAAAATACAGCTGCCAGTGGGCATATATCACCTTGCCTGGAAAGCTGTCTTTGATGAGTTGCAGTACCTATTATATGAGCTTTATACTGTAAAATCTGATTTCCCTTTGTTATTGATGCAGGTGGGAGGGCCGTATATGGAAAAAGTTTCTAGTCGATTGGATGTGTGATCTGTGTTAGAAGGATGACTGCCATTTACAAAAAAGACAAACCGGTATATAGAAAGAGAAATGTCCAGTTTGGGGTATTTTTTGAAGGAATTAGCATACATTTTAGCACTTCTGAAGATATATACAAGACCCAAATCAACACCTGAAAATGGCTAATGTGTCATAAAAATAAAATTACCATAACTAAAATGTTGTTTCTCTTCCAGGGTTCCAAGAAAAAGTAGCTGGTCTGAAGCTACAATAGGACATTTAAACTGGGAGGTCAATTAGGTTATGGTGGAGCACAAATGTCCCAAAGGCGACTCTTGGAACAAAGCTAGGTAAGGATATTTGAAATATTTCATATGGTATGATATAGCAATACAAGTCAAATTGTTTATACTGTATTTTTATACGCCCAATAAACATAAAAAAAAATATCTTGACACAATTCCTTTTATCGTTGGTAAATCTGCTGTTGTATGAACTGTTTTTGAATTGTCCTTAATTAAAAAAAATGACAACATTTTTAGAAACTTGGTATTCATATGTTTGAAATATTTATAATTTTAGGTGTAAACAGATAGAGCTTCACTACATGGAATTAAAGTGCTTATGATGTGGCACAGAAGTTCGCAAGGCAAGTGTACTTTAATGCATAATGCTATTCTTATACCTGACCATTTAGACTCCTCGATCCTTTGCCTGGCTAAAAGAAATTTATGCTTGAAGGGGTTAACAACTTGGTAACTGTGTATACTGCAATAAGGTGCTGTGGACTCAAATCTTCTTTAAGGTTTATAAACTTATGATGCCACACCTGCTTCTGCTTCCAAACTTCAAACCTGTGTCAACTTTAAATATCACCTACATTTCTGAAATGTCACTTGGTACTATTGACTTATCAGTACAAGGGTCA